TTTTTTCCTATTTCTTCGAAGTTTAGTTATCTTTCTGTAGTGCGATTCCTTAATGAATTTTTTTGAGTTATCGTCGTAACCGATAAAATTAAAATGCTAATAATTTCAATATTTTCAGCAAGTAAGTGGCCAAAATAAATGGGTAGTCCTGTCCATAGCAATAGTGTTGTCAACATAATGTTGCGTTTTAATTTAACCGAGATTTGTCGGTAACTCAAATAATGGGTTAGAGAACATAGACAAATGAAAATATAGACAACGAAATGCTCTCACCGTTTATCTTCGAAAAAAATCGAATCAGCAGATGTCGTCTATATCGTTTCAGGGGTTTGAGTGAGAATATTGATAACAACAACTGTAGGATATTTTTTGTCGGTAAAAAATTGTTCCATAATAAAAGAAATGTGAAATTATCATGTGAAATTCTTGAAAAACGATAAAATGTGTTTTCGAAGTCGAGTGGGTTGAACGCCTAAATCGGCATGTTGACAATTACATTCAAAGACATGCGAGAAACGCTAAAAATATTAAATATATGCTAGAGGTTGAGATTTAAAGGTACAATTACGAAACTTCAGACAATTCCGTGAAACAGAAGAGAATATTTCAGAAGAGAATATTTTGCACAGATAAGTTATAAAATGCTGCTTGTTTTGTTGAGTTTTTCCTAAGCATAAAGGGAGATTTTGTTGTGTTTCTGGAGACGCTATCAACAAGTTCACATTTTGTTCAGTAATAAAAGTTGCGTCGAAGTGTGAAGATATTTTTATTAAAAGTGAAATAAAATAATTATTAAACAAGTAAAAAAGCAGTAACAAGTAAAAAAGCATTTAGAAAGAAATTGAAAATTTTCGAAAAAGATAACATTCGCCAAAAATTATGTAAACATTTTAATATACCGAATATATAGCTGTACGACGTGCACCTACATAGGCATTGTTTGTCACAAGCCATTACCATATTCAAATTCGAAATTTGAAATAAACGGTGAATAATGTAGCCAAAATCATCAAAATACCGTACATAGACAATTTTCTGTCACAGGCTGTAGCTTCCATTACGAACTTCGAATACGACATCTTAAACAATTTCGGTGAGTATTGTACCTAAAATCGTCAAAATACCGAATATAGGGGGGTACTGATATATGGGGCCTATACGAAGACCTGTATAGACAATTTTCTGTCACAGACTGTAGTTTACCATTACGAACTTTAAATACGTAATTTGAAACTACTACGGTGAATAATGACGCTAAAATCATCAAAATACCGAATATAGGGAGGTACCGTTACATGGGGGCTATACGAAGACGTGGACCTATCCATTTCGAACTTCATATACCAAGCTGGAAACAATTCCGGTGAAGAATGTCGCTAAAATCCTCAAAATACCGGATATCGGGAGATATCGTTATATGGGGACTATATGAAAACGTGGACCTACATGGCCCATTTACGAACTTAACCTGCCTACTGGCAAAATAAACATGTGTACAAAATTTAAATTTGTTTAAAAGGAAAAATGCCAGAAAATCAAATAAAAAACAAGGAAAAAGCTGAAATAAAGTGGATGGATGGAAATCAACGAAATAAACGATCTGCATACCTTCGATGATTTGCTGTAGCAAAATGAGACAATACTCAAACAATTTGTAAGCATAGACAATTGTGTCATTGGTTATCTGACTAACTATCTAGCTGACAACTTAACCAACTAACTAATACTCTTATTAACTTCTGATAACCCAATTAGAGAAGGAGTTAATTCAAAAAAAAAAAAAAAAAACAGGCCAGTTCGAAAGGAATTTTCAGAAAATGTTGCGTTTCAATACAGCTTGAAAGGGACCAATGTAAAGCATAACGTAGAAGAGTGCTTTTTTGTAGACGCTAATCAATGTTAAGTTTATTATTCTAACAAAAATAAATAAAGAATTAATAAAATGGACAAACGCTTACATATTTCATTTCAGTCAGTTGTTATCTTAAATACAACATCAACGGCAAGGACATGAATTCGATCCATATATACATCTAACATTAATTATTTTTTCTTTTAATAAATTGTTATGAAAACACATATGAACACTCTGTTTTGGTTATTTTGGTTGTACATTCGAATATTTACAAACACAAAAGTGATTTAAAAAAGACTCCTAAATGAGCATATACAGGGTGAGATGAAAAAACTGCAACCAACTTCAGACTGCTGTCATTTCTAAGCCACTCGTCCGACAGCTGTTAAAATTGTTCCAGCGACAGCCCATTATATTGTTTACAAGCGTACAAAAGCATTTTGGTGAGAATTTTCTAGGAAAAAAGTTATTTTTGATGGAATTCAATATTGTTAGGGCACTCCAGCATTTAAATGTGAATAAATCGCTGGTGTCTCGTACTGGTAGCGTAGCCAAACGTCAAGGAAAACAGCAACGTCAGCAGATATGGTTCGAAAAGTAAAGAAGCGACTTGATCGAAACCCTCGTCACAGTGGCCGAAAAATGACTAGTGAGCTGAACATATCGCAATATTCCATTCGGCAATTATTGAAAAAATGAGCTCGGGGTAAAGCCATTGACATTCCAAAAAGTGCAAGAACTTACACCGCAACAGAAAGAAAATAGACTCAAAAGAGCTAAGAGTTGCTTCGCTTGGCCGAAAGTGGTGAACTGCCGAATTTGGTTTTCTCTGATGAAAAAAATATTCGTCGCTCAGCAGTTTGTAAACAAACAAAATGATCGTATATACTTTCCAAAGAGGTTAGCTGAAAATGTGCGCCTTCGGTTGGCCACCAGAACTCAAGCGACGGTCATGGTGATGGTGTGGTCCGCCATAACAGCCGATTGTCGCTCTCCGCTCGCTGAATCGCGAAATATTATCGCGAAAATATTCTGGAGGGTGTATTAAAGCCTCGGGCACGTAAACATTTTTGCCGCAGATCTTGGACATTCCAACAGGACTCAGCACCATCGCACTCAGCACGCGCCACTCAAGAATGATTACAAAATGAGGTTCCTCGCTTCATTTGCAGCGCACAATGGCCAACAAAATTTCCGGATACCAATCTGGAGTATTTTGAAAAGCAAAGTTGGCACTAAAAAATGCCAAAGTGTCGATCATCTCAAGCAAGCGCTTCGCCGGGAATGGGCCAAAATACCGCAGAGCAACATTCGGGCAGCGTGTGACGGTTTCATTGGCCATTTGAAGACCATAATTCGTACCAAAGGTGACCAAATTTAGGTGAACAAATCTAAACTTATTCTAAAATCTGATACTATTTCCGACATTATTTGCTTTCCAAAAAAAAAAAAATAAATAAATAGATAAAATCTAAAAATTATGGCGTTTAACTTTGTTGCAGTTTTTTTAATCTCACCCTGTATGACAATAAAAATACTAATAAATTACTCACTCATAAACCATCATAAAATGACTTAAAAAAGACCCAAAAATTAAAGGAAATATCGCAATTGATGATAACAAGTAAAAAAGCAGTAAGTTCGGCCGACAAATACCTTTCAGGGGTTAAAGTGCTTACAAAGAACTCCTTGTGTGGATTTTCAGACAATACCATTGGAAAATATAGCTAAAATCATCAAAATACCGAATATCGGGGGTACCATTATATGGGGGCTAAACGATATCGTTAACCTATATAGAGAACTCTATGTCAGGGGTTAAAGTGCTCACAAAGAACCCCTTGTGTGGAATTTCAGAAAATTCCATTGAAAAATGTGGCTGAAATTATCAAAATACCGAATATCGGAGGGTACCGTTATATAGGGTATATACGATATCGTGGACCTATGTAGACAATTCTCTTTCAGGGGGTGAAATACTCATAAGGGACTCCTTGTGTGGAGTTTCAGGCAATTCAATTGAAAAATGTGGCTAAAATCATCAAAATACCGAATATCGCGGGTACCGTCGTATGGGGGCTATTCGATATCGTGGAGCTATATTGGTAATTCTCTTTCAAGGGATAAAATACTCACAAGGAACTCCTTGTGTGGATTTTCAGACCATTTCATTAGAAAATGTGGCTAAAATCATCAAAATACCGAATATCGGGGGTACCGTTATATGGGGGCTATACGATATCGTGGACCTATATAGATAATTCTGTGCTGAGGTATAAAGTTCCCACAAGGAACTCCTTGTGTGGATTTGCAGACAATTCCGTTCAAAAATGTGGGTAAAATCATGAAAATACCGAATATTGGGGGTACCGTTATATCGGGGCTATACGATATCGTGGACCGATATAGTCCATCTTCGAACTTGACATGCCTGCAGACAAAAGAGAGATCTGTGCAAAATTTTAGGTTCCTCTCTTAATTCGTTTAGACTGTATCATGACTACAACAGACGGACAGACGGACGGATAGGGCTAAATCGTCTTAGAATTTTCGCTGATCAAGAATATATATACTTTGTTGGGTCTAAAATGATTATTTCGATAAGTTACAAACGGAATGACGAACAAAAGACTTGACAAACTATCAAATATGTCCGAAGAAGACTCTTAACTAATCTAGAGGAAGAGTCATATCTGGTCGCGGAAGGTCAAGTTTTTCTCCCGACAAAAGCATCTTTTCGATCAGAAAATGCGCTCATATTCCAGCTTTTTAATCGTGCAGCAGGATCAAAAAAAGACTCGAATGTGATTAAAAATTTCAAAAAATGTGGACTGGGATTTCAGTAAACCGATTTAGAATTTTACGCTCATGAACAATATATACTTTGTGGGCTCTAAAATGGCTATTTCGACGAGTAACAAACGGAATAACAAAAGAAAATATTCCCTCCAAAAACAAATAGAAACTAACTAATGTTGTTCTGCGGAGCCGAACTGTATATTATCAAAATTTGGGATATGTGACACGTGACACGTGCTCTGTACCCTACATAAACAGTTTAAAAAAAGACTTGAACAAGTTTTAATCTTTGCCTTCTTTTCTAGTACCCATGTATGTATGGCAGTAGGCAAATCGAAAGTCATACCTCTGTAATTATCACAATTATGATGACCTCGAATTTGAATGCGTTTCACAACTGACATATAATTGTCACCGGAACTACTGCCGGCACTGCACTGGATGTGTTGTATGTTGAAGGACACTATGTTATTTGCTTTGAATAGCTTTCGGAGATTGTCGACGTTTTCCTCGTATTCACTTTCGCAGGCCATTGTTGTTGAACTTGATTTCGAACAGCCGTTGGCCTTCGCATAACCTTACATTTATAAAGGTTAACCGTTACACGAACACAAGCACAGTCCTCGCGTAGAGTATTGCCGCACTTTCGGCCAGTCTGGAACTCAAATCAAAGCGGAGCACCGTTCAAAATCGTTTTCGATAAAAGTCAATTCACTTTCACTGACGAACAATTCGCACAGTTTGAAGGGGTAAATAAACGGATTGCATTTTATTTTTTATTCTACATTTCATTGTTTTCCACGCACAAACTAGCCAATACGCTCGTAAACACACTCACACAGGTACATGTACGCACGATGGTGGGGGTAGAGGGGCTCTTCGAAACGAAAGTAAAATCGATAGAATAGACTGCACTTTTTTATTTATTGTTACAATTTTCTGATGCGAGTCAATGACGGATTTGCTGTTGCCCAGACACACGAGACGTGGAAAAGAAATTCCTGCTTGCCGACACCAATGAACACATTTTGCTTTTGCCAAAGCCAATTGACAACTAAAAATGAGCGATTTCTAGTTTGCTAGAATGGCAGTGCAAATGTCTCGAATGCACACGCAAAAGCAAAGTCAACAAATCAAGCAGCATAGGCGTCAGAATGTTTTGAGTTTTTTTATTCGCTTAGAAGAGCTTTTGCGAAAATGTTGATGGTGTCGTTAGTAGACTACAATCAATGCTACATTACATTACATTACAATTCATTAAATTAAAAGACTAATAGACGAATTTATCGAAGTTATGGAATATTTTGGTATCGCAAAAATTATTTTCTCTCCGGGAAAGCATTCTAAGACTAAAGGTGTGGGCACATAAGCAGCTTGACCTACATTGAGAATAAGGTTTTGTAGTCTCTTCAGTTTGAAGAAGTAGCTAAGCCTTTCAAATAAAAACAAGTTAAAAATCAGTAAGTTCGGCCGGGCCGAACTTTGAATACCCTCCACCATTTGGAACGAAGTTGGAAATTTTAAATTTTCTATACGACGTGGACCTACATAGGCATTGTTTGTCATAAGCCATTACCATATTCAAATTCGAAACTTGAAATTAACGGTGAATAATGTTGCTAAAATCATTAAAATATCGTAAATAGGGGGTACCGTTATATCGGAGCTGTGCGAAGACCTGGACCTGCATAGACAATTTTCTGTCACAGGCTGTAGCATCAATTACGAACTTTAAATACAACATCTTAAACAATTTCGGTGGGTATTGTACCTAAACTCGAAAAATACCGAATATAGGGAGGTACCAATACGAAGACCTACCTGCATAGACAATTTTCTGACGGAGACTGTAGATCGTATCACAAACTCTAAGTACGTAATTTGAAACAATTCCGGTAAATAATGACGCTAAAATCATCAAAATACCGAATATTGGGAGGTACAGCTATATGAGGACTATACGAAGACGTAGACCTGCACAGACAATTTTCAGTCTTAGGCGACAGTATCCATTTCGAACTTCAAATACCAAATTTGAAACAATTCATGTGAATAATGTCGCTAAAATCATTAAAATACCGAATATCGGGAGGTACCATTATATGGGGGCTATACCAAGACGTAGACCTGCATAGACAATTTTCAGTCTTAGGCGACAGTATCCATTTCGAACTTCAAATACGAAATTTGACACAATTCCTGTGAATAATGTCGCTAAAATCATCAAAATACCGAATATTGGGAGGTATCGTTATGTGGGGGCTATATGAAAACGTGGACCTACATGGCCCATTTACGAACTTAACCTGCCTACTGGCAAAATAAACATGTGTGCAAAATTTTAGCCTTCTATCTCAATTCGTTCGAAAGACAGACAGACGGACAGACAGAATTTTACGCTGATCAAGAATATATATACTTTGTTGGGTCTTAGATCATTATTTCGATGAGTTACAAACGGAATGACAAAATGAATATACCCTTCATAGTATGGTGGAGGGTATAAAAAGGCCGATACACCTATATGGGGTGTATATCGAAACGTTGACCTACTACTTTCGTGTTAAAAGGCACTGTGAGATCTCTAACAAAAGGATTTATATCATCGAAAATGTTTTTCAAACGTTCTTTATTATATTGGCGGGTTATAAGAGGGAACAGATTTTACACTACTGAAACCCTTACATGTCAAATTAGTATTCATTTGGCCGAATAATGTTAGGAGATAACATCATAAAAACCTCCGATGGGAGTCGTATATAAAAAGTTATAAAAATCTACTTATTTAAAAAAAAAAACATTTTAAAATTTTTGACATATCAACCTGAACCGAGTTCAATATAATTTGGCATATTTATTTTTGTACCGATTTCCGTTACGTATTCTAAATTTGGAGAATGTATCTATAACCGATCAATAGATATGTGCAATCAAAAACCTCTGATTCTCCAGTTCCAAGTGGAATTTTAAAAATGTATATAGCCTATGTTCATTTCAGGCGATGCTGCAGTATGTATGGAAATTTTCAGGAAAATCTATTCAGCAGTTTTGGAGTCTATAAATTACAAACAAACAATCAAGCGTACAAACATTTTCCTCTAATTTCTTGAAAAAATCACCGGTTTTTATTCAGAAATATCTGGTACAAAAATTATTAGGACATTAATGGCTTTCTAGAAGGAGATTCTTTTAAAAGTTTCTCCACGAACTACTTCCCAAATTTAAAAATTCGGCCGATAATTCTGGATATAAATGTCGTGAATCGGATTTCATTCAAAGCCGTATTAAATAATATACACCCCCTGTAGCCATAAGGCTGAGTATATATTTAGCTTCGCCCACATTAACGTTGAACGCTCACCGTGATAGTTATATTGCCATGATCTATTGATGATCATGAACAAAAGGACTATGGACGATCAAAAATTGTCCATGTTGTTTGAGCGAATGCGATAAGATTAGTTCGTATCTTACGAGGGTGGTTCGGAAACTTCTTAAGCTGTCAATGAAAGGGAATAGTTAGTTTTTCAAAAATATTTTTATTTTTCAATAAAATCTCCAAGGCTTTTCTAGCAATTCTAACCCTTGATTAAAATAGTTTTCCTCAAGGTCTTCAAAATAGTGGTTTACAACTGCAATTGCATCTTCATTTGAGGTAAAACGCTTGCCAGCAAGGATTTTTTTAGGTTTGGGAACAAGTAAAAGTCACTGAGAGCTAAATCAGGAGAATAAGGTGCGCGTTCAAGCAACTCGTACTTTAATTCGTTGATTTCAGCCATTGTTTTAACACTCCTGTGCGCTGGTGCGTTGTCTTGATAATTTTTTTGTGTTGTAAGCCGAACGTTTTTCTCGAATTTGTAGATTTAATTGATCCAATTCAATTGTTTTTGCCTTCTTTGGGGCACTTCCTCCAGCTTCAGTCCATGGTTTGGATTGTTCTTTTGTGTCTGGAGTATAGTGGTGGATCCATGTCTCATCAACAGTTATAAAACGACGCTTAAAATCCATTTTATTTCGCTTAAAACGATGCAAACATGCTTGAGAATAGTTCATTCTTATGCGTTTTTGATCGACTGGTAACAATTGCGGCAGCCATCTTGCAGAAAGCTTTTTCATATGTAGTTCTTCATGCAAAATTAAATGGACTCGATTATTTGCGATGCCCATGGTATTAGCCGTCCCGATGAATCTTTTTTATGTAAATATTTAAAGACAGCAATCATTTCTAATTTTTCCATATTAAAAAAACTGCGGATGCGTCTGTTTTGAACACCTGTTTCTATATGAAGGAGTTACTAAAATATAACATATGTTCAGAACAGAGATGGAAGTTTCCAAAACACTTAACTTTTTCTGTACATACCTCGCTTTTTGTGCTAGGCTAAAAAGTTTCCGAATTGCCCTCGTACATACGCAGCAAAAAATCTGATCACCAGTGCTTGCAAACCAAATACTTGGGCACAGGTAATTACTTACAAAACATCATCCCAACCCTTTATTATGACACGGCCACAATGTCCTAAGTCACTGCTACGAATGCATTGTTTGCTCTTTAATGACAGGCAAGAGCGTCGACAAACTCTTCATATTCTCTTGTTGTGTTTATTTGCTGATATGTACACTATGTGCCGCCATTACTCCTTACCTGGTAAGATAAAATAAAGTTATATTACACAGAAAATTTGTAGAAGAACAACTCACTATTTTTTATACCCTCCACATACATACATAGTATGGAGGGTATATTAAGTCTGTCATTTCGTTTGTAACTCATCGAAATAATCACATGAGACCCTACCCTACAAAGTATATATTTTTGATCCGAGTAAAGTTCTAAGTAGATTTAGCCATGTCCGTCCGTCGTCTGTTGTTATCACGATCGAGATTAAACGGCATATGGTAGGAAGCTAATATTTTTCATAGAGTTGTCTTTTGTCTGCAGTCAGGTCAAGTTCAAAGATGAGCTATATCGGTCAACGTCTTCGTATAGCTCTCCATACAATTGTACCTCCCCATAATCGGTAATTTGATATTTTAAGTCTCAGTTTCCAGCGAAATAGCTTTAAATTCTGCATTTGGAGTTCATAATGAGTTCTACCTACTGTGTCAGAACAGTGTCCATATAAGTCAATACTTTCGTATAGCCTCCATTAAACTGTACCACCCGATATTTTGAGGATTTTAGCCACAGTTTCTAGCGGAATAGCTTAAAATGCAATATTTGGAGTTAATAGTGGGCTCCACTTATAGTGACAGAATATTGTAAACATAGCTCCATGTTTTCCCACTGCCACAGTACCTGATAAAATTAGACAGACTTTCTAACGGTATAGTTTGAAATTCAGTATTTAGAGATTACAATGAGTTCGCCTAGGTCATTTATACTATAGCCTGTACATAATTATACCTCCCCAAATTCGTTATTTTAACGTCTATCTTCTGTACCTCCCGATATTCGGAACTTGGATGATGTTAGCTACAGTTTCTACCGGAATAGCTTAAAATTCGATTTTTGGAGATTATATTTCCTGTGACAGAAAATGGTCTACATAGGTACACTCCCATTTTTTGGCATTTTAATAATTTTAGCTTCCGTTCCTTATGTATTGAAATAAAATTCGCCAGCCACATCCCATGACTTCTACCTACTGTGGCAGAACATTGTCCTCATAGCTTCATTTTCTAGCGAAATTACTCACTTACATACTTCGGTATTTAGATTTCGTAAAGGGTTCTCTACACTCGTTGCAGAACAATTTTCATAGAGATCAATGTTTTGTCCATCACATCCTCCCGATATTCGGTTTTTTGATTATTTTAGCCACATTTTTTATAGAATTTTTCGAAATTTAGATTGTATGTTTCCAATGACAGAAGTGACGCCAATCACTCCAATAGTGGAATTTCCGTATTCACATACATAATTTTACAGGAAATATTTTCCAACTGGTGGAGGGTATAATATGTAAGTTAGGCCGGGTCGAACTTAATTTATTTTTTACTTGTTTAACTTACTGTTAATTCAGAGAGTATATAGTTTCCAACATAGACTCTAGCAGGATC